ACTAACTAACTAACTAACTAACTAACTAACTAACTAACTAACTAACTAACTAACTAACTAACTAACTAACTAACTAACTAACTAACTAACTAACTAACTAACTAACTAACTAACTAACTAACTAACTAACTAACTAACTAACTAACTAACTAACTAACTAACTAACTAACTAACTAACTAACTAACTAACTAACTAACTAACTAACTAACTAACTAACTAACTAACTAACTAACTAACTACTAACTAACTAACTAACTAACTAACTAACTAACTAACTAACTAACTAACTAACTAACTAACTAACTAACTAACTAACTACTAACTAACTAACTAACTAACTAACTAACTAACTAACTAACTAACTAACTAACTAACTAACTAACTAACTAACTAACTAACTACTAACTAACTACTAACTAACTAACTAACTAACTAACTAACTAACTAACTAACTAACTAACTAACTAACTAACTAACTAACTAACTAACTAACTAACTAACTAACTAACTAACTAACTAACTACTAACTAACTAACTACTAACTAACTAACTAACTAACTACTAACTAACTAACTACTAACTAACTAACTAACTAACTAACTAACTAACTAACTAACTAACTAACTAACTAACTAACTAACTAACTAACTAACTACTAACTAACTAACTAACTAACTAACTAACTAACTAACTAACTAACTAACTAACTAACTAACTAACTAACTAACTAACTAACTAACTAACTAACTAACTAACTAACTAACTAACTAACTAACTAACTAACTACTACTAACTAACTAACTAACTAACTAACTAACTAACTAACTAACTAACTAACTAACTACTAACTAACTAACTAACTAACTAACTAACTAACTAACTAACTAACTAACTAACTAACTAACTAACTAACTAACTAACTAACTAACTACTACTAACTAACTAACTAACTAACTAACTAACTAACTACTAACTAACTAACTAACTAACTAACTAACTAACTAACTAACTAACTAACTAACTAACTAACTAACTAACTAACTAACTAACTAACTAACTAACTAACTAACTAACTAACTAACTAACTAACTAACTAACTAACTAACTAACTAACTAACTAACTAACTAACTAACTAACTAACTAACTAACTAACTAACTAACTAACTAACTAACTAACTAACTAACTAACTAACTAACTAACTAACTAACTAACTAACTAACTAACTAACTAACTAACTAACTAACTAACTAACTACTAACTAACTAACTAACTAACTAACTAACTAACTAACTAACTAACTAACTAACTAACTAACTACTAACTAACTAACTAACTAACTAACTACTAACTAACTAACTACTAACTAACTACTAACTAACTACTAACTAACTACTAACTAACTAACGAACTAACTACTTAACGTAACTAACTACTAACTAACTAACTAACTACTAACTAACTACTAACTAACTAACTAACTAACTAACTAACTAACTAACTAACTAACTAACTAACTAACTAACTACTAACTAACTAACTAACTAACTACTAACTAACTAACTAACGAACTAACTAACTAACTAACTAACTAACTAACTAACTAACTAACTAAACTAACTAACTAACTAACTAACTAACATAAACTAACTAACTAACTAACTACTAACTAACTAACTAACGAACTAACTAACTAACTAACTAACTAACTACTAACTAACTAACTAACTAACTAACTAACTAACTAACTAACTAACTAACTACTACTAACTAACTAACTAACTACTAACTAACTAACTAACTACTAACTAACTAACTAACTAACTAACTAACTAACTAACTAACTAACTACTAACTAACTAACTAACTAACTAACTAACTAACTAACTAACTAACTAACTAACTAACTACTAACTAACTAACTACTAACTAACTACTAACTAACTAACTAACTAACTAACTAACTAACTAACTACTAACTAACTAACTAACTAACTAACTAACTAACCTAACTAACTAACTAACTAACTAACTTACTTGCTACTACTAACTAACTAACTATCTAACTAACTAACTAACTAACTAACTAACTAACTAACTAACTAACTAACTATCTATCTAACTATCTAACTAACTAACTAATTAACTAATTAATATCTCAGACATTTATTGTTCATTCTATTTCCTTCCGGCATCATGTTATCTTGATGAATCTTTCCCTTCTTTTCCATATTGGTGCTATCGCAGTATTCCCAGTCTGCCGAACTATAAACACGTGTTAAACAATTATATCTTCGGCCTTTCCATGAAATGATTTGACATAGGGTCAAACTATAGAATCGCATAACTACGGGAACCGGTAGCCCACAGGGCAGAGTTTCGGACTTTGTCTTGCCCCGATTATTGGAGAGGTTCCTTTAAGGTGCACGTGGAGGCTGTGGTTTAAACCCAAATATGATATGGAATAGATGCTGGGGCGTGCGGACCTTACCCACCTAGAGTATGTCGGGTAAATGCGAAGTGTACTGGGTTGAATGGTAAAACCAGCGTTAGTGAGTTGTCTAATCAGCTCACCTTGTGATTGGAAAAGTACCACCATGAAATAAGGCCAGGATGCAGGCGTTCACTTCGATCTCTTCTGTTCACTCTATCTGATTTTTAATAACAAAATTTTGGAACATATTTCAGATTGATTATTTCAAGGTTTTGATTGGGGGATTTAGAAAAATAGATTTCATCAGACGTACTTGCAAATGGAATCACAGATTGCTCAATTTTAACAATAGAGAAGATATATTCTTTATAGGATCGGAACTTAAAAAGGCAATAACAATCATGGGACTGTAATGTAGGGTATTTTAAGCAAGATATCATTTATAGATATTAACAAGCTTCTTATTAAAAACTTTATAGAGAATTTTTGTTAAGTGAACAATAATTATTACTTGTTTCTTGTACCTGTTTAATAATTGAAATAAATTTATAAGTTTTTATATGACGTCTTTGTACATAAATTATTTTTAATAATAGTTCACTTTCAAATGACTTTTTGTGAAAATACAAATACAACTTGGACAACTTGCAAAACGTGTCCTGGTGACAATTCTTACACTTGTTTATAATATCGTTAGACAAACAAACAATGAGTCCTTATTATAACGGTGTCCTTCTTAACATGTGGAAAAAATCGATATATAAAATACCTTTAAGTATTTAGAAATAAATGTCGTAAACAGTAATTTATTTATTAATAATTTATGAATATTTAAAAGATATACTAGCAACTGTTAATGACAGCTGGTTTTGAAGGAAATTAGAGGGAATCGGAAAGAAAATAGCTTCGATTCAAAAGGGAATAGGATGATTAGATTTAAAGGTCAATTAAGAACTAAGTTAATTTAGGAAAAATACTAATAATTTGATTGAATCCAAACTTTGAGAATATGCACTCAATGCTCAACCTATCCATTATGAAAAATTTAACCCAAAGGTGGAACTAACTTAATACATTGAAATCGATTACATTCTCCATTTAATCTAACCTTTATTTCTTAAGGTTCTTACCAATCATTCTAAACTTATCTTTCTCCTAAATATCCATTCAATTTCTTTCTATTATTACACTATCATCATCCCCTCTAAATTACTTTAGGACCGAACATTACAATAAAACTGTGCAAGTATTAATAAATTGTCAGACTCCCAAAAAGATTTATTGAAATTACTTTGACTTTTTCAATAAAATAAGAATGAAATTGTGCAATTTTTGCTCTTTTTCTTTACTTTAACATAAAAATAAAACAATCTGAGTAAACAGCATAAAGTCAGTCCAGTACCCTAAGATTGAACACAATGATTTAGATGTCATGTCTTATTAAAACATGAGATGACAATGAGATTTTTTTCATATTCTCTTTAGTAGGGAAAACTTTTCGAAAAAATAAAACTTCTTACTTACAACAATACATTCAACTTTTTTGCAAATGACTCAAGACATGTTGGGTATTAAAGTAAATTGTTTAAAGCTAGGAGAATACTTAGGAAGTGATTACTGAACAGAAATGTCAAGTAATTAAATCTTAAAATTTCAAACTTTTGAAAAATATCGGAGATATAATCAAGCATCTAAGAACTAGTCCTTCAGAAGCTCTGACTACTATATTCCACATTGTACCTATAGATCTGCATATAAAGGTCATATCTGCTAGCATGCTTAACTCATTCGGATGTTGGAGGTCAAGAACATATGGACATGTTAAGATTTTAGACCTACTACATTCAATCTTGAACCAACCATCCGACTATACTATCCCATACACGGACTTTGATAGAGTTTTCAAAGTCAGAGTTCCTTCTAGGAGCGAGTGGTGTAGGGGTAACCTACCAAGTGAAAATACCACCAGAATCTTTACAGATGGTTCTAAATTTAAGTGCGGTGTTGGTTCTGGTGTCTTCTGTGAAGAAGTTGGGATAAGTCTTCTCAACAAATGTAGTGTTTTTCAAGCTGAAATATTTGCGATAATGTCACCCTGTAGGAGGATACTATACGATCTTAATATTTGTAGCAACATAGACACCTTATAACCTGAAGTAGGCCGGATATATCGAGGTTGATAGCAGTAATAACAGGACACCGGGTGCTAGGCAGACATGCAAGTCGGCTCGAGTTCGCCTTCAATGAGTATTGTAGCAGTTGGAAAGATAGGGAAAAAGAGGAAATGGTATTTCATCTTCTCTCTGTATGCCCTGCTCTAGCCGTTAAGAGAAACAGTTTTCTTGGCAGTTACTTCATATCCAACCTTGGTGAGATATCTGGGTCAAACTTATCTCAAACTTGAGATTTTTCACGGCTATATGCTGGATCTAATACTATACAACACTACATCTGACGAATGGAGTGGCCCTGTCAAAACGGAGTCCCTGCGCGCAGGTTGTTCTAGTTGTTGTTGTTGTAGCAGCGACACCTGAAATTACACGTATATATAGTTAAACATTATTCCCTACTCTTCTTCTTCTTCGCTTTGGTTATCCAACTCCGTTAGATCTAAACCCAGTAGACGAGTCGCATCCAACGGCTGAGTCCAAAGGGATTCAGGTTCCAACTGAGTTGGATTTGCCCTGCAGTTAAAAAGGTGTTGAACATTGTGTGGGCCTGTTCCACATGCAGGACAAAGATCTTGAATGGTGTCGTTTATTCTCGTCTAGTACGAGTTTAAACGGGTACACCATCCGGATCTAAGTTGTGCCAATACCACTCTAGTACGAAGTGGTAGGTTTCGTTCCTCGTTTGCAACGGGTGGAGGACGACCTCCCAGTATTATACTATCGCGGTGGGAATTGATGGAGTCTTCCACCGCCTGTTGATGGATAGTATTCAAAGCTGTCCTGTATGAGCTTTCGTCCTCTATATCATCCAGGTGTTCTTGGATGTCACTCTCATACATACGAAGATCTTTCCTGACATGCCTGGGGGGGGGGATTCTAACTCCGTTAGATGGTGGTTTGGGTGGCCCCTCCGATGACATCCCAGTAGGAACTGCTTTGACAGCATGATATTATGTTCCTTAATTGAAAGCATCTTCGTTTCGTCATGCAGATGTTCTTCGCATATCATTTGAATGCAGCCTGTCACCGTTCTTAGGGCTGCGTTTTGACAGCTTTGAAGCTTCTTCCATTGCGTGTCGCTAACTCTAGGTGTCCACACTGGCGCTGCGTAGTTTACCACTGACCGGCCAATCGTTTGATAGGTAGTCAACAAGGTTTCTTTATCCATTCCCCAAGTGCTGCCGGCTAGAGACTTGAGTACCTTGTTTCTACTTCGCATCTTGTTGCAGATTGCAGTGGTGTGCGCTGAGGACATAAGGAGGCTATCGAATGTGACACCAAGTATTTTGGGGTGATTTACCGTCGGAATTTTTTCGCCATCGACTGTCACATCCAGTTCTAGCCCTACTTCCTTAGTCCAGGTGGTGAAGAGAGTTCCTGAGGATTTCGTGGGCGATATTTTTAAATTCCTTAAATGGAAGAAGCTGGAAAGATCACATAGGTAACTGTTTATCAAACTGCAAAGGTCATCAATACTATTGCCCGTGGCCAATATCGAGCAGTCATCGGTGTAAGATATTATTTGGACGCCGTCCGGGGGTGTTGGGAGTTTAGACATGTAGAAATTAAACAGGATCGGCGAAAGAACTCCACCTTGGGGTACTCCCTGTTTAATTCTACGAGATTTAGATCTCTGGTTCCACAAATGACTGTCGTTCACTAGCCATCTCTTGGTGTTGTCGGAGAGACCAGATGTTAAAATGTCTCTGGTTGTTCTAGTTGTTCTGGCTGATATATTTTGATCAAAGCATACCTTTAACTATACACATTCTTAATATTCACATACTAGAGTTTACCGCCAAAAGATTTGTGAAGATTAATTTCCAATAATTTGTACAGAAAAAGATTTGGAATCAATATTAAGAAATATACATCAACAGTTTTGGTTTGACAGAAAGGTATACCTTGCTAAGCACTGTATGGCTGGGCGAATATCAGAACTTATAGGTTCTTCATGCCACTATTACAGTTTTGACAGTTGTGTTGTTTTGATTTAAGCATGAGACACCCTTACATTGGCACTTACGAATTCATTAAAAGATTTGTTCATATCTGGTATATGTCTTTTTAAAATAGAAAATTATATGAATAATTAAGCGAGAAAGAAATTATTTAGCGTGTGTTAGAACAATGATAAAAAATACCGCAAATACTTAAGGAATTAAATATACAATTCCATTTTTATTATTTAAATACAAATAATTGAGGGTAGTCGCAGTTTTAGAGGAGTCGTATAGATGTTAGCAGATATATTACCACTTAAATATTCTATGATTTGACGACGCAGCAATCTTATCCAGTCAAAACGGAACTAGTACTATTCACTAGACAATATAAAATTTAAAGATTAGCAAAATCCAAATCTAAATGCACAAAAAGAGTCCGATAGCTCCAAATACCGATTTGGACTAATATTGGACTGCAAACTAAATTCGAAAATAAGCACTCAAATTGGCATGAGTGGGGATTTAAACCTAAAAATATATACTGGTTATACGAAACTTTCGTAATATCAATTATATTTTATGGATCAACTGTCTGGTGGTTGGCATCAGAAAGCGTTTAACGTATAATAAGAAAGTAAACGATTATGGTAATAGGACCAATCAGAGCTATACCAGCAAGTAGCAGCTATACAAAATCATGGATCTGTTAAATTAGAGATTATACTTGAACGATGTTACACTAGAGCCGTGATTTTCAGACAGATCGATATATACCATTGAAGTATTTACTGATGAATCAATAACTGTTGTTGTTGTAGCAGCGAAATCCTTAGTCGTTGTTCACTTGATTGGGTGAACTTTGCAGACCCCAGATTCATTCTGCATCCATTCTTGTAATATCAAATCATTGCGAACATTTAGTCCCACAGTTACTCCTATGAGGTATCCCGCTGTCTTGACAACACCACCATTGCTATACTTTCATCGGTTAGCATTATATGAATTCTATTAATGAGTTGGACTGCGATATAGGCATACCTTATGCAAAAAGAATACTATTGACTTCACCGAATCGCTAACAGGGCGTCTCCACAGAAGATTGCGAGAGATACATTTGTTAAAATTATATAGATTCCCTAACACTGGAATATAGAAGGTAACAATCTTGATGATGCATTTCCGAAAGGCTGTAATTTCAATTATGTGAATGAGTTTGTTTACGACATTGTACTGCATATCACAGACAAACTTCAACTAATCCAGTTGCAATTCGGGTCTTAATTGAAGATAGTCATGCAGAAGAGTCCTAAGAACACTCTTCAACATGGTTGTACAGCCCATATTATTGTATGCTGCCTTGTTTGGTGGAAATACGAATGGACTTTCACTGGTAGAAAATTGATTGAACTAATGGATCAAGATGTTGCCCTCAAGTCGGGGTAACAGTAAGCCCATTGTAACATAATCAACTGTTTAGGAGAAATCCCAGACAACATTGAATACTACACCACCAAACCAACTCATGAATATCATGAATCCCTACTTCAGTTTCCGAAAGCAAATCTACGGAATTTAACTGCAGAGATGACTGGCCTCTGGCCTTTTGGGCTATATGCTAGAAGACAGAAATCAAGGAGTAATGTCTTCTGCAGGAGGTGTCAGGATGAAGTGGAAGAAGAGAGTAAAACTCACCCCCTCTGCGCTAGCTGCGTATAGATTAAATCTGTTAAGTGCCAATATCCTGCATGATCTAACGGATCTGTGTGATGCTGACATTCGAAATATAGACTCCTATTTTCGTGCCACAAACTGGTTTGGATAGGAATCGAGAGTAATTGTTATCAAGTAGCCAAGTGTGTCTCCAGTGACAACAAATGGACAACCAGTTAACATAACCTAATCATGATTTGTCAAGAATATATATACAAGTGATAAGGAGGATCAAAATGGTAACACAACGGTACCATACATGACTCAAGTCTGTTTTGGGGGGGCAAGTCATTAAGTTAAGGTAATCCAAATTGCAACATATACCGAAGTAAGAATCAATAATGGCCAGGAACAGTGTGTCTCATATTGTAAAGAGTGTTGCCTCCAAAAGTATGCAATGCTTTCATTTATAAATGAATAAACTGTGAATACCCCAAATAGTCAATCTAATAACACTTACATATATTAAATTCTCTATTGTTTTATATTAAAATTAAAGCAGAAAAAAAAAACAAATTACTTACCCAATATGGCACGCAAGTGACCTTCAAGTGTTTGCAGGATGGTTTGCTTGATTTCACTTACATTTTTGCCCAAAAATTGTTCACTGGCCGTACCCAAAAGTTCGTCAGCCTGATGATGAAAATAATAAACATTCATCATCTGCATAAGATATCAGCCGTATTGATTTAGATTTTATTTATTTTTGTTTTTTTTTTTTTCATTTATTATTTTTTGGTTAAATTATTTATTTTTTTGTTATTGTTATTTGAAGTTTGAAGGAGATGATGATGGAGAGTTGAGTTTTTTTATTTTAGGAATTATTTATTATTTTGTGTATGTAGCAAAATGAAGATGATGAGAGAGTCAACACGCAAAATAAGGAATATACGGAACGAACGAAGTTAGTGAATCCATCAAATAGTTAAAAACGTAAATGAAATGAAACGTAACGTAACGGTTTTTTTTTTATATATATAAAAAAATAGAAAAAAAGAAGAATAACAATATTAATACATCATATTTATAGGTTATTTATAAGATTGTTATTAAATATTTATATAAATATATATATAGCACACATTTACATATGTGTATGTACATAAAAAGATAATTTACATAGTTTTTTTTAATGTTTTTTTTTTGTAATATATTACATGAAACATAAATAATTTACATGAAATTTATATAATTTACAGATGTTGTAACAGGCATGGAAATATCAGTTCTATAGTACTTATTTTCAGGGCCCAAATTGCGGCATACGATATCGATCGAAATCTAAATGGAGATTTCGATCGATATCGTATGCCATAATTTGGGTCCAGTATTTTTTGATGACTTCGAAAAATACGAAATTTTCCGTACTTTTTCTAAGTTATAAACTTTAAATAATTAGACAATAGACCAGTCTATAAACTAGTGTATGGTCTATTCTCAGGTCTAGTGTATAGTCTAGTTTATAATCTACTGTATAGTCTAGTCTAGTCTAGTCTACTCTATAGTCTAGTCTATAGTCTAGTCTATAGTCAAGTCTATAGTCTAATCTATAGTCTAGTCTAGTCTAGTCTAGTCTAGTCTAGTGTAGTCTAGTGTAGTCTAGTGTAGTCTAGTCTAGTCTATAGTCTAGTCTATAGTCTAGTCCATAGTCTAGTCTATAGTCTAGTCTAGTCTATAGTCTAGTCTATAGTCTAGTCTATAGTCTAGTCTATAGTCTAGTCTATAGTCTAGTCTATAGTCTAGTCTATAGTCTAGTCTATAGTCTAGTCTATAGTCTATAGTCTAGTCTATAGTCTCTAGTCTAGTCTATAGTCTAGTCTATAGTCTAGTCTATAGTCTAGTCTATAGTCTAGTCTATAGTCTAGTCTATAGTCTAGTCTATAGTCTAGTCTAGTCTAGTCTATAGTCTAGTCTATAGTCTAGTCTATAGTCTAGTCTATAGTCTAGTCTATAGTCTAGTCTATAGTCTAGTCTATAGTCTAGTCTATAGTCTAGTCTATAGTCTAGTCTATAGTCTAGTCTATAGTCTAGTCTATAGTCTAGTCTATAGTCTAGTCTATAGTCTAGTCTATAGTCTAGTCTATAGTCTAGTCTATAATCTAGTCTATAGTCTAGTCTATAGTCTAGTCTATAATCTAGTCTATAGTCTAGTCTATAGTCTAGTCTATAGTCTAGTCTATAGTCTAGTCTATAGTCTAGTCTATAGTCTAGTCTATAGTCTAGTCTATAGTCTAGTCTATAGTCTAGTCTATAGTCTAGTCTATAGTCTAGTCTATAGTCTAGTCTATAGTCTAGTCTATAGTCTAGTCTATAGTCTAGTCTATAGTCTAGTCTATAGTCTAGTCTATAGTCTAGTCTATAGTCTAGTCTATAGTCTAGTCTATAGTCTAGTCTATAGTCTAGTCTATAGTTTAGTCTATAGTCTAGTCTATAGTCTAGTCTATAGTCTAGTCTAGTCTATAGTCTAGTCTATAGTCTAGTCTATAGTCTAGTCTATAGTCTGGTCTATAGTCTAGTCTATAGTCTAGTCTATAGTCTAGTCTATAGTCTAGTCTATAGTCTAGTCTATAGTCTAGTCTATAGTCTAGTCTATAGTCTGGTCTATAGTCTAGTCTAGTCTATAGTCTAGTCTATAGTCTAGCCCATAGTCTAGTCTAGTCTATAGTCTAGTCTATAGTCTAGTCTATAGTCTAGTCTATAGTCTAGTCTATAGTCTAGTCTATAGTCTAGTCTATAGTCTAGTCTATAGTCTAGTCTATAGTCTAGTCTATAGTCTAGTCTATAGTCTAGTCTATAGTCTAGTCTAGTCTAGTCTATAGTCTAGTCTATAGTCTAGTCTATAGTCTAGTCTATAGTCTAGTCTATAGTCTAGTCTATAGTCTAGTCTATAGTCTAGTCTATAGTCTAGTCTATAGTCTAGTCTATAGTCTAGTCTATAGTCTAGTCTATAGTCTAGTCTATAGTCTAGTCTATAGTCTAGTCTATAGTCTAGTCTATAGTCTAGTCTATAGTCTAGTCTATAGTCTAGTCTATAGTCTAGTCTATAGTCTAGTCTATAGTCTAGTCTATAGTCTAGTCTATAGTCTAGTCTATAGTCTAGTCTATAGTCTAGTCTATAGTCTAGTCTATAGTCTAGTCTATAGTCTAGTCTATAGTCTAGTCTATAGTCTAGTCTATAGTCTAGTCTATAGTCTAGTCTATTAGTCTAGTCTATAAGTCTAGTCTATAGTCTAGTCTATAGTAGTCTATAGTCTAGTCTATAGTCTAGTCTATAGTCTAGTCTATAGTCTAGTCTATAGTCTAGTCTATAGTCTAGTCTATAGTCTAGTCTATAGTCTAGTCTATAGTCTAGTCTATAGTCTAGTCTATAGTCTAGTCTATAGTCTAGTATATAGTCTAGTCTATAGTCTAGTCTATAGTCTAGTCTATGGTCTAGTCTATAGTCTAGTCTATAGTCTAGTATATAGTCTAGTCTACAGTCTAGTCTATAGTCTAGTCTATAGTCTAGTCTATAGTCTAGTCTATAGTCTAGTCTATAGTCTAGTCTATAGTCTAGTCTATAGTCTAGTCTATAGTCTAGCTATAGTCTAGTCTATAGTCTAGTCTGAAATTTAATTTAGTATTTTAGTTTAGTACTTTCAAACCTTAAAAGTATTATTTCAAATTTAAAATTTTCCATGCCTGTGTTTTAAATGTGATTAAGTTATTAGTGTGGATACATACATATGTTTGATAAGGATAATCACAATAAGTATGCTATATATATTATTTTAAACAAGAAAATACAACTCTGTTCACCGTGTAGGAGATAAGTGCAATCATTGTTTACATTTTTTGGAAATTTAAAAGTTAAACACTTTTAATTAATATAATACTAGACTGTGATTACCCTTAATATTTTAGTGTTATTTATATACAATTGTTATTGTTATTACATTTACATATTAAATTTTTTAAATCCTTAAAGCTAAGTAAGTGTTAATTGGAATAAATTATAAAAATACACATTTATAAAAAAAAAGTGTTTTGGGCGTACCTTTTTTCAATCAAAATAAAATATAGTTTTTTTTTTTTTTAAACAAATTAAACAAAACTATTGCAAATATTACTCCAATTTTTATAGATTTTGTTAACCAAAAAATAATAAAGAAAAAAACAAAAACATTAAATCAAAACTGAAAATGATTAAGTATTATTTTTTTAAAAGAAAAATCATACCTCTTCAGTTTTTGCATACGAGTTTGACTAAAGAAAATAAGAAAAAGTAAAAAAAGAAAAAAACAAATCAATAATTAATTTTCAACTAAACATATAAATATAACATTTAAAAATTGGTGACATAGGACTAAACTACTTATTTAAAAACAGAAAATTAGGACAAGTGACAAGAATGTGATCCTCAAATTATGTTTTAGATAAGATGTTTCATGTTAGGTATAAAAAATTTTGCTTCAAATCCAAAAACTTTTTTAAAAACTAATAGTAATTCGAGAGTCAGCTTAGCAGAATTTTCCTTCACTTTCATCCAAATATTTTTTACGGGTTTTCTCAAAATGTTTAAGATTTAGATTCCTGGGCCTTTAGCAAATTAAATTGTAAAAATTACAAACGACAAACTTCTCAAGCCATCAATTCATGTGACGTTGCCATCTACCAGGTCTAAAAACTAAAATCCGAAAAAGTTAAAAATGTCTGAAATGACGAAGATATAAAGTTTTATACTTCAGAAAGTCGTTCTGAGTTTAGGGTTAGATGAATGTAGGGTTCTTAATGCTGAACTATCAGCCATAAAACGGCTGCAAACTGGATCAGGTTCTATTGAATATATAACGCTGATATTCTAATATACACCGATAGCCAGGCTGCCCTGAAGGCCATAAGTGGTATTTATACAATATCAAGCTTGGTCCTTAAATGCCGGGCGTTCCTTAACGAGATGGCGAAACATTCGGACGAAACTCCTCACTAGAAAGATAACATACAAACAACTTCATCGGCATTCCGTTATCAAGTTGAAAACGCTCGATTCGTGATAAAAACCAGCTTTGAGACTTCCCAAATTTAAAATATTGTATAACAATATATATGTCAAGTTCGGAACGTCGTAAAGACAATAGATCCTGGAAAAAAAACACGTCTTTTATATTTTGTGTGTGAAAACTTTGTTTTCTAATTAATTTCAGAAAAATAGTTTCACATTTATAACCAATATTTAAAAAAAGTAGACCAAGTCATGAAAAATATCAACATGTCGAAGGTGTTCTACTTTGTGGGATCCATTTTCTAAACTCAAACTCGAAACTACGCCCGATCGAACCAGCCAGATGTACATATTTCCAAAAAATCTTGATTATGTCCCATTGTGAGCTGGTGGATATGACGTTTAGATGATTATGGATACTGAATGGTGAAATGTGGGTATGTTTTGTAGGTTTTAATTGGATGATCTTGGTCATAGCACGTTCGGTTCGGTTTACTCCGTTCATACTTAACTTATCATAGTGTTTTATCTTCAGGCTACTATATGTCCGTAGGTACTATTACCGCAATTTTGATTTAATTTAAACAGATTTTTCAAAAAGGCGAGCTTTACATAAAGCAACTTTAAAAAACTTCTTTTCTACTCTTTCTATAGAAATTTTATTGAAAAGTGAAGCTTTACATAAAGCAACTTTTCTATAGGAAAACCAAGTGGGGGTTACTATGTATTTCGATTCCAAAGAACCTCCGAATTACATAGTAATTTCAAGCTTTACAGAAAGAAAAGCTTAACATAAAGCCAAAATTTTATATGGAAAATTTAAGCTTTATGTGAAGTAAAATTTTCCATAGGAAAAGCAAAATTCTTTTAAAGCATTCAAATTGCTACCTTTGTAAATCAATGCCACAGTAAGAATGCATTTATTTAAAGCACTGCTAGTACGTTTATAAACACAAAAACTAAAGCATATTTTGAGGATCACAAAAAATATAAATAAAGAATTTATAAATTTGTACATACGACAATATTTTTAAGGTGTCAATAAATAGTAAAATTAAAACAAAACTACAGTAAAAACTATTCCAAATGGACATACATATATACATATATTTATAAATTCAGCTGAAAGTACTTTTCTTCAAGTTTTTTGGTCGTGAATTTTGGTACATATAAAAAATGTTCTGTTGAAGGCAGTTTTACCAATGTCCGATTGGAAAGTTTAGACTGTTAGTTTTATTAAGAAATTGTGTTTTTACTACAACGAAAAAAGTTCAACAATACATTTTTTTAAAACAAGAAATAATTTAGGTTTTCAACTAAACTTACATTTCTTTCAATAAATTCTCTAGATTTTAAAAACTATAACAAATAAATAATTATTAAAAATATATAAAAAAGGAACAAAATTTATACTGAAATAAATATTTTAATTCAAATTATTTTATATAAATTAAATTCGAAAAAAAGCCAAATGACATGCAAGTTTTACATACAAGTTTTTAACTTATTTACTTTGGAGGGAGGGGGAGAGAAGATCTACTAAAATACTTCACAATTTTTTTTTTCATATAATTATAAAACAATTAATAAATATTTGTATAAGAATAAATATAAATAATATAATTATTAAAAGCTTTATAAATTGTTATAATAATTTATAGCATAACTTATTTCTAGCTGATCGGTTAAACTAACCTTCATGATTTTACATTGTGCCACTCCTGTAACTGTCAAAGGTACACCTTGGGCTGTTTCCACATTTTCACACATGGGATTAAGGGTCATAACATTTAGGGAGAGACGTTGGACATCGGTTACTAGCCACCAGGCCCACGCCCAGCCGCCAACTATAGTACGTTTTTTAGTTGAACCACAGCAGCCACCTAAGAAATTAGAGAAAATTGGAAAATTAGTTTTAAGAAAATACAATTTTTATAAAAAATTTCATTAAAAACTATAACCTAGTCTAATAAAGTCTAGTCTATAGTCTAGTCTATAGTCTAGTCTATAGTCTAGTCTATAGTCTAGTCTATAGTCTAGTCTATAGTCTAGTCTATAGTCTAGTCTATAGTCTAGTCTATAGTCTAGTCTATAGTCTAGTCTATAGTCTAGTCTATAGTCTAGTCTAGTCTATAGTCTAGTCTATAGTCTAGTCTAGTCTATAGTATAGTCTATAGTCTAGTCTATAGTCTAGTCTATAGTGTAGTCTATAGTCTAGTCTATAGTCTAGTCTAGTCTGTAGTCTAGTCTAGTCTAGTCTAGTCTGTATAGTCTAGTCTATAGTCTATGTAGTCTAGTCTATAGTCTAGTCTGTAGTCTAGTCTAGTCTATAGTCAGTCTATAGTCTAGTCTGTAGTCTAGTCCTAGTCTGTAGTCTTAGTCTATAGTCTAGTCTATAGTCTAGTCTATAGTCTAGTCTATAGTCTAGTCTATAGTCTAGTCTATAGTCTAGTCTATAGTCTATAGTCTCGGTCTATAGTCTGGTCTATAGTCTAGTCTATAGTCTAGTCTATAGTCTAGTCTATAGTCTAGTCTATAGTCTAGTCTATAGTCTAGTCTATAGTCTAGTCTATAGTCTAGTCTATAGTCTAGTCTATAGTCTAGTCTATAGTCTAGTCTATAGTCTAGTCTATAGTCTAGTCTATAGTCTAGTCTATAGTCTAGTCTATAGTCTAGTCTATAGTCTAGTCTATAGTCTAGTCTATAGTCTAGTCTATAGTCTAGTCTATAGTCTAGTCTATAGTCTAGTCTATAGTCTAGTTTATAGTCTAGTCTATAGTCTAGTCTATAGTCTAGTCTATAGTCTAGTCCATTGTCTAGTCTATAGTCTAGTCTATAGTCTAGTCTATAGTCTACTCTATAGTCTAGTCTATAGTCTAGTCTATAGTCTAGTCTATAGTCTACTCTATAGTCTAGTCTATAGTCTAGTCTATAGTCTAGTCTATAGTCTAGTCTATAGTCTAGTCTATAGTCTAGTCTATAGTCTAGTCTATAGTCTAGTCTATAGTCTAGTCTATAGTCTAGTCTATAGTCTAGTCTATAGTCTAGTCTATAGTCTAGTCTATCTAGTCTAGTCTAGTCTAGTCTAGTCTATAGTCCAGTCTATAGTCTAGTCTATAGTCTAGTCTATAGTCTAGTCTATAGTCTAGTCTATAGTCTAGTCTATAGTCTAGTCTATAGTCTAGTCTATAGTCTAGTCTATAGTCTAGTCTATAGTCTAGTCTATAGTCTAGTCTATAGTCTAGTCTATAGTCTAGTCTATAGTCTAGTCTATAGTCCTAGTCTATAGTCTAGTCTATAGTCTAGTCTATAGTCTAGTCTATAGTCTAGTCTATAGTCTAGTCTATAGTCTAGTCTAGTCTATAGTCTAGTCTATAGTCCTAGTCTATAGTCTAGTCTATAGTCTAGTCTATAGTCTGGTCTATAGTCTAGTCTATAGTCTAGTCTATAGTCTAGTCTATAGTCTAGTCTATAGTCTAGTCTATAGTCTAGTCTATAGTCTAGTCTATAGTCTAGTCTATAGTCTAGTCTGAAGTCCAGTCTATAGTCTAGTCTATAGTCTGTTTCTATAGCCTAGTCTATAGTATAGTCTATAGTCTAGTCTATAGTATAGTCTATAGTCTAGTCTATAGTCCAGTGTATAGTCTAGTCTGTAGTCTAGTCTATAGTCGAGTCTATAGTCTTATCTATAGTCTAGTCTATAGTCTTGTCTATAGTCTGGTCTATAGTCTAGACTATAGACTAATCTATTGTCTTGTCTATAGTCGAGTCTAAAGTCTAGTCTATAGTTTAGTCTATAGTCTAGTCTATAGTCTAGTCTATAGTCTAGTTTATAGTCTAGTCTAGTCTACGGTCCAGTCTATAATCTAGTCTATAGTCCTGTCTATAATCTAGTCTATAGTCTAGTCTATGGTTTTTTGGATAAATAGAAAATTTGTTTTTAAATGTTCCCTGAGATCGGAAAACGTTCTTCCCCGTTATTCCCAAAATAGAAACCCTATTTGTAGAGCAAACATTTGATACACAAATGTCACATTTAACAGTTAAATGTCACTGGTACAGTTTTTTCTTTCTAAACAACAATTTAAATTCAACTGTCACTGCCTGACAGTAAGTCATCATAATGTTGTTAAATGGTTGTTTTTTCAACTTTAAAGAGAAAGTTTTAAAGTGATGAAAAGAGTACATTTACTTTTGACAGTTGTTGTTTGTCAAATTTTTTCATGGTTGTTAAATATTGAGTTTTATTTAAGAGAATTTATTTAGTTTATTGTAACAAAAATATTTTTTGATATTGTTTTAACCTTTTTGCCAATTCCCTTATTTGCTTTGGTCTACGTGAGCATTAGCACGCTTCAAAAAGTTTTTCCTTAAATGAGCTGCAACAATAGAAAAATATTGCTATTTTATCGTGTTACAAAGTCTAAGTTTAAAGGAAATTACACTCTCGCAGTAAATGTCATCATGACTTGACACTTGTTCGGGTTGAACAGTTTTGTCTGTCATGTAATTTCCCTTTTCTTTGGAATTCACTCTTTGAATCTATTGAACACAATCATAATTATTTGGTTTCTATTACTTAGGTGGCCAAAAATGACGAGAACCTATTGTTTAAATTTTGAAAGTGTCATGAGCGTGCGTGAGCAGTTGTGTGTTTGACAAACACTTATGAAATTGAAAGTTTTTATTGTTTATTTTATTAATTTTATGGGGGAAGTTGTTGTTTTAGATGACTAGAAGTTTTTCGTATTTTTTATTGGCATAATTTTTGTTTTATTTCAAATAAAATATTTGGTATTATAATAGAGATATCAGAATTTTTACCGATAGGCAAGCTGCCATTCCCTTATTGGTGTGTTTTCCACATCTAAACTTACCCATTAATGCCGAATGTCTCTCAATGATATGGCGACACATTCAAACATTATTCTTATATGGGTCAAAGGAGACGGTACTATACATATATGGCAATAATATGTGCGGACTCTTTGGCAAGAGTTGGTTCCACGCTTAGTGAATTGGAAATTAGATCAGTTCTGTGAAGTACCATTACCTGTAATTAAAAAGTTGATCGCAGATTACTGTCATTCTATGACTCAGGAACGTTGATCGAGTGAATACACATGCTCGATAGCTAGAGCGCTGTGGCCTTATATGGAGCCACATTGGTCTTCAAATACTAAAATTAGTTAATCTGGCCATGCTAGACGCTTTGATCCTACCTATAATGACTTCTGTTAAAGTTGTCAGAATGAAGATGAAACGGTAGTTCAACTTCTCTGTAACTGCACAGCCTTGGATATGCCTCGAAATCGAACTCTAGGTGCGATTAAAACGGCTTGTCGCATTCCTTAATTCGTTTAGACTAGTGAGAACTTCAAGTCTAGACGTAATAATCACACTACGTTTCTAGTTTCTCATTATCTCCTTTCCTTCCTTCTGTTTCTTCTATCTCTCCTTCTACTAACTCTATTTTTTTCTTCTCTTACAGGTATTCTTACAAAGCGATCAACTTGGATCGAAGTCATGGGTAAAAGTGAAAATATAGCCTGGACCATAATCTAAACTGCAGTCGAAGCTGTAGACTGAACTGTAGTCTATACTAATGATTGGATTTTAGTCTAAACCATAATCTGGTCTATAGTCAAACTATTGGGAAAAGTATGGTCTAAACTCTGGTCTGGACTGTAGTCGGGTCTATTGCCTAATCTATAGTCCAAACTGTTGTTTATCGAACTATAGCATAACTACTAACTAACTAACTAACTAACTAACTAACTAACTAACTACTACTAACTAACTAACTAACTAACTAACTAACTAACTAACTAACTAACTAACTAACTAACTAACTAACTAACTAACTAACTAACTAACTAACTAACTAACTAACTAACTAACTAACTAACTAACTAACTAACTAACTAACTAACTAACTAACTACTAACTAACTAACTAACTAACTAACTAACTAACTAACTAACTAACTAACTAACTAACTAACTAACTAACTAACTAACTAACTAACTAACTAACTAACTAACTAACTAACTAACTAACTAACTAACTAACTAACTAACTAACTAACTAACTAACTAACTAACTAACTAACTAACTAACTAACTAACTAACTAACTAACTAACTAACTAACTAACTAACTAACTAACTAACTAACTAACTAACTAACTAACTAACTAACTAACTAACTAACTAACTAACTAACTAACTAACTAACTAACTAACTAACTAACTAACTAACTAACTAACTAACTAACTAACTAACTAACTAACTAACTAACTAACTAACTAACTAACTAACTACTAACTAACTAACTAACTAACTAACTACTAACTAACTAACTAACTAACTAACTAACTAACTACTACTAACTAACTAACTAACTAACTAACTAACTATAGTCTAGTCTATAGTCTAGTCTATAGTCTAGTCTATAGTCCAGTCTATAGTCTAGTCTATAGTCTAGTCTATAGTCTAGTCTATAGTCTAGTCTATAGTCTAGTCTATAGTCTAGTCTATAGTCTAGTCTATAGTCTAGTCTATAGTCTAGTCTATAGTCCTAGTCTATAGTCTAGTCTATAGTCTAGTCTATAGTCTAGTCTATAGTCTAGTCTATAGTCTAGTCTATAGTCTAGTCTATAGTCTAGTCTATAGTCTAGTCTATAGTCTAGTCTATAGTCTAGTCTATAGTCTAGTCTATAGTCTAGTCTAGTCTATAGTCTAGTCTATAGTCTAGTCTATAGTCTAGTCTATAGTCTAGTCTATAGTCTGGTCTAGTCTAGTCTAGTCTATAGTCTAGTCTATAGTCTAGTCTATAGTCTAGTCTATAGTCTAGTCTATAGTCTAGTCTATAGTCTAGTCTATAGTCTAGTCTGAAGTCCAGTCTATAGTCTAGTCTATAGTCTGTTCTATAGCCTAGTCTATAGTATAGTCTATAGTCTAGTCTATAGTATAGTCTATAGTCTAGTCTATAGTCCAGTGTATAGTCTAGTCTGTAGTCTAGTCTATAGTCGAGTCTATAGTCTTATCTATAGTCTAGTCTATAGTCTTGTCTATAGTCTGGTCTATAGTCTAGACTATAGACTAATCTATTGTCTTGTCTATAGTCGAGTCTAAAGTCTAGTCTATAGTTTAGTCTATAGTCTAGTCTATAGTCTAGTCTATAGTCTAGTTTATAGTCTAGTCTAGTCTACGGTCCAGTCTATAATCTAGTCTATAGTCCTGTCTATAATCTAGTCTATAGTCTAGTCTATGGTTTTTTGGATAAATAGAAAATTTGTTTTTAAATGTTCCCTGAGATCGGAAAACGTTCTTCCCCGTTATTCCCAAAATAGAAACCCTATTTGTAGAGCAAACATTTGATACACAAATGTCACATTTAACAGTTAAATGTCACTGGTACAGTTTTTTCTTTCTAAACAACAATTTAAATTCAACTGTCACTGCCTGACAGTAAGTCATCATAATGTTGTTAAATGGTTGTTTTTTCAACTTTAAAGAGAAAGTTTTAAAGTGATGAAAAGAGTACATTTACTTTTGACAGTTGTTGTTTGTCAAATTTTTTCATGGTTGTTAAATATTGAGTTTTATTTAAGAGAATTTATTTAGTTTATTGTAACAAAAATATTTTTTGATATTGTTTTAACCTTTTTGCCAATTCCCTTATTTGCTTTGGTCTACGTGAGCATTAGCACGCTTCAAAAAGTTTTTCCTTAAATGAGCTGCAACAATAGAAAAATATTGCTATTTTATCGTGTTACAAAGTCTAAGTTTAAAGGAAATTACACTCTCGCAGTAAATGTCATCATGACTTGACACTTGTTCGGGTTGAACAGTTTTGTCTGTCATGTAATTTCCCTTTTCTTTGGAATTCACTCTTTGAATCTATTGAACACAATCATAATTATTTGGTTTCTATTACTTAGGTGGCCAAAAATGACGAGAACCTATTGTTTAAATTTTGAAAGTGTCATGAGCGTGCGTGAGCAGTTGTGTGTTTGACAAACACTTATGAAATTGAAAGTTTTTATTGTTTATTTTATTAATTTTATGGGGGAAGTTGTTGTTTTAGATGACTAGAAGTTTTTCGTATTTTTTATTGGCATAATTTTTGTTTTATTTCAAATAAAATATTTGGTATTATAATAGAGATATCAGAATTTTTACCGATAGGCAAGCTGCCATTCCCTTATTGGTGTGTTTTCCACATCTAAACTTACCCATTAATGCCGAATGTCTCTCAATGATATGGCGACACATTCAAACATTATTCTTATATGGGTCAAAGGAGACGGTACTATACATATATGGCAATAATATGTGCGGACTCTTTGGCAAGAGTTGGTTCCACGCTTAGTGAATTGGAAATTAGATCAGTTCTGTGAAGTACCATTACCTGTAATTAAAAAGTTGATCGCAGATTACTGTCATTCTATGACTCAGGAACGTTGATCGAGTGAATACACATGCTCGATAGCTAGAGCGCTGTGGCCTTATATGGAGCCACATTGGTCTTCAAATACTAAAATTAGTTAATCTGGCCATGCTAGACGCTTTGATCCTACCTATAATGACTTCTGTTAAAGTTGTCAGAATGAAGATGAAACGGTAGTTCAACTTCTCTGTAACTGCACAGCCTTGGATATGCCTCGAAATCGAACTCTAGGTGCGATTAAAACGGCTTGTCGCATTCCTTAATTCGTTTAGACTAGTGAGAACTTCAAGTCTAGACGTAATAATCACACTACGTTTCTAGTTTCTCATTATCTCCTTTCCTTCCTTCTGTTTCTTCTATCTCTCCTTCTACTAACTCTATTTTTTTCTTCTCTTACAGGTATTCTTACAAAGCGATCAACTTGGATCGAAGTCATGGGTAAAAGTGAAAATATAGCCTGGACCATAATCTAAACTGCAGTCGAAGCTGTAGACTGAACTGTAGTCTATACTAATGATTGGATTTTAGTCTAAACCATAATCTGGTCTATAGTCAAACTATTGGGAAAAGTATGGTCTAAACTCTGGTCTGGACTGTAGTCGGGTCTATTGCCTAATCTATAGTCCAAACTGTTGTTTATCGAACTATAGCATAACTAACTAACTAACTAACTAACTAACTAACTAACTAACTAACTAACTACTACTACTAACTAACTAACTAACTAACTAACTAACTACTAACTAACTAACTAACTAACTAACTAACTAACTAACTAACTAACTAACTAACTAACTAACTAACTAACTAACTACTAACTAACTAACTAACTAACTACTACTAACTAACTAACTAACTAACTAACTAACTAACTAACTAACTAACTAACTAACTAACTAACTAACTAACTAACTAACTAACTAACTAACTAACTAACTAACTAACTAACTAACTAACTAACTAACTAACTACTAACTAACTAACTAACTAACTAACTACTAACTAACTAACTAACTAACTAACTAACTAACTAACTAACTAACTAACTAACTAACTAACTACTAACTAACTAACTAACTAACTAACTAACTAACTAACTAACTAACTAACTAACTAACTAACTAACTAACTAACTAACTAACTAACTAACTAACTAACTAACTAACTAACTAACTAACTAACTAACTAACTAACTAACTAACTAACTAACTAACTAACTAACTAACTAACTAACTAACTAACTAACTAACTAACTAACTAACTAACTAACTACTAACTAACTAACTAACTAACTAACTAACTAACTAACTAACTAACTAACTAACTAACTAACTAACTAACTAACTAACTAACTAACTAACTAACTAACTAACTAACTAACTAACTAACTAACTAACTAACTAACTAAACTAACTAACTAACTAACTAACTAACTAACTAAC